TTGAAACGTCTCTTAAAACCACATTCCCTGATGAGGCAAACACAGAGCCAATGGTAGCTATTTCTACCCAAAAATTTGCTGACTACCAGTGGTATGGCCTTTATCCTTATATCACTGCTTTAAAACTAATTTCGATCAAGAAAGAGAACAAGTTTTTTTTTCTCTGGTTCCTGCTTCAACATTGTTGAAACTAATTTTATCCCATTTCAGTAGTACTAGTTTTTAGAAGCTGGGTTAACAGTTAACACTAAATTCTTGACTAGACTTTCTATAAAACGTTTGGTGTGATTTGATTTAATTGATTTACTTTCTCGCGCTAAAAGATGTATCATTATGTGTTATGCAGCAATAATGCAATGAGCTTGTTTTCCAAGATCAAAGGAAAGTCCACAGACTATAGAAACCCAAATTCTGTTGGTCAGGTTTGGTTACTGTAAAACATAGTTTGTGCATAAATATTTGGGATATATTATGGTCTCATTTGCTCAGCCATTAATCAGATGTTTACTCTTGTAATTATATATATTATTATTTATATAAGATGTATATATTTTGCAGGCTATTGCAAGAAATCTCCCTCCATCAGATATCATTGAGTCTACATCTGTTGCAGGACCAGGTTTTGTGAATGTAGTTCTGTCAAGCACATGGGTGGCTCAGGTTGAGTTTTATGAGGATTACAAGCACTTTATTTTTTATTATATATAAACTGGAACATGCACATTCTTTTTCTAATTCTACTCTAATTTCACTATGGTTTATTGTGCAGTATATACAAAGTATGCTATTGAATGGTATTGAGACATGGGCACCACTTTTATCAGTTAAAAGGGCTGTGGTTGACTTTTCTTCACCTAATATTGCAAAAGAAATGCATGTTGGCCATTTAAGGTCAACTATAATTGGAGACACTTTAGCTCGAATGCTGGAATTCTCTAAAGTTGATGTTCTACGACGGAACCACGTTGGTGATTGGGGTACACAGGTGCATACTCTTTGGTGCCTGTTTCTTACTCTTAACTTGTATTTGAGCAATAGCTAGATTTTAGTGACTATAATTTGAGTATTAGTGCTTATTCTCTTAAACATGCTCTTAACAAACATGAAAATCCCTCTTACTTCGAAGTATGAAATTTGTGATTTTAATTGCCTGTTGTTTTAGGATTAATACTTTTGGTAGTTTTGTTAGACTTACCTGCGTGCCGCAGCTTATGTTTGTTACTGTTTCCTGCAACTTACAATTTCTTAATGAAGTGATTTTTAGAGATTTTAGGACTTCTTTGTGAAGCATTAATCTAATCTGGTAGGTATAGTCTTCCTCACTGATCAAACAATAAAGTGAAAAGGATTATTAAACGTTTGATAAGTTTTTGGGTATGTTTCTTTTCTGATATGAGTTTGGAATGTAACTAATAGACCATATCTCACAATGACGAATAATACCTCTGTATGCTTCTTTTTGATCTGCAAAATCTGTATGATGCCTTTGGCTTTAGTTGATTTCTATTCCAGCATTCCTAGGATCACAGTACATAAGTTGTCCTGTAGCAGAAGGTTGTCATCTTCTTTTCTAGAAGGATTTTTGACACATTCTCTGGGCTTTTTTGGCAATTTGGACATTATGATCATTTTTGGATATCTCAGACTCGTCTCTTTTTCTTGCTGCTACTGAATGATCCATATGAATATTATGTAGCTGTCGCATTATACACAATTTTAGACTTTAATAAACTTATTGATAAACTTGCGAGTCACTTTTGCATACCCGTGAGATTATGGTATCACAAGAAGGGAATTTGGGAGTTTGATGGTTGGGGTTAGGGTTGTCAGGGAGTTGGGGGGTATTAGTTGCTCTCAACAGTACAAATGTTACATCGATAGAATATGTTAGAAGAATAACTCCAAATATGATCCTTAATTAGCAATTCATTTTGACTCTTCTGTTTACGCGGTAAGTAATTTTTGGGTCTAGTTGGTGTTTGACAAGCAAAATAAAATGATAGTGCAATTCTCATAAGAAGTTTTGAGATGTGTATAACCATATTGTTTTTTCCTCTTCTAATCAGATATCATATGACTTATTTCCTTGCAAAATACAGATTAGTTTGGGTTGGATTTGTTCTGATAAAAGTTACATATTATACCAACTCTCATTGGAACAAATCCTACATAATCTAGAGTTTCGGAAATAAAAGTCTCAAATAGCAAGAGTTGAGGACTACTTTTGCTTCTATTAAAACAATGACTCAGAAATTGATTATCAAATCAAAGCGTCTTGGAATTCAACCTGATCTTAAATGCAATTATGTGATTCGATGCATTACATTACTAGAGCTTACAAATAGTACAATTTCTACCAAAAATATGTCGTAAATAAAAAAGATCGCATTAAACTCTTCCTAAAAAATATGGAATAGTTTGTCATCCTTCTGATGATTTAGGATACTTCGCGGTTCTCAGATTATCATACCTGTGTCTAGAGTTCATGGGTAGAGAATTTTGAGGATAATGATATAACTGCACTGATATTTGAGTCAAAATGCTCTATAAGAGACTTAGCTATATAGGTTTGAGTCTTTTGACTGTGGATTGTCTTTAATAATGTGAATAACCTTGTTCAAGATATAAGTTTTTAACTTTTTGTTAATTTTTTAATATTCAGTTGTTCTAGATATTCTGCTGTGTTTGTGTGCGAATCTTGTTTTGTTTCGGCTAGATTATCTTAATTTGTAAAATAAATATGGACTTCAATTTTGCTATACCTAATATATTTCACTGTTTTTCAGCTTGTTTTTGAGTTTACTTGTCATTCCTTTTATTCATGAACAATAACATTTGCCTGTATTCTACAGTTTGGAATGTTGATTGAATATCTATTTGAAATGTTTCCTAATTGGGAAGATGTTGGGGAGCAAGCCATTGGAGATCTCCAGGTGCGGAAAATCCTATGCTCAAGTTATGCTGTTTATTGTATATGATGGCATTTATTTACTCTATAGATGATAAAAAGTTGTATTTAGTGGAGGGAACTGTGATCTTTCCTATGAGTTAGGAGATTCTTGTATGTCAAAAAGGTAGCTTTACTAAAGACTCCTGATACCTTGTACTAATTTAACTAGGGATAGTTTTGGTATTGACCTTATGACACAGACATCTATGAAGTAGAGCAACATGCAGGTTTTGCTGATTCTTTGCACTTTGCATGCTGACATTTAAAAAGAACTTTAGCATTCTTAATTTATATGTGCCTGCTGTAAATATACTCAACATATTGTAAAAGAATGTTATTCATCTAACTCAACAGTTCCATCTTAGATGAGCGATAATTCATCTTCTGTTGATTTATTTGATTTCAGGAATTCTACAAGGCATCAAAAAAGAGGTTTGATGATGACCCTTCTTTCAAGGAGAGGGCACAACTAGCAGTTGTTCAATTGCAGGTGAATAACCATATTATGCTTTGTAGGTTTCAGATAAGGGAGCAATCCTTTGGACTTGCTAGATCATTTGTAGTTGGATGTATAAACTATCTGAAATGAGTGAAAAGGATAGCTTTCATATCTTTTATCTTCCTTTTATTCTGATTGGTTCTTTGAAAACACTTTTGTTGAATTCCATTTCCTTTTCTTTACAGGGTGGAGATATGAAGTATCGTAACGCATGGAAAAAGATATGTGAAATTAGCCGTAAGGAATTTGACTTAGTGTATAAGCGTCTTGGAGTTTACTTGGAAGAGAAGGTACTGCACTGTTTTGGTATTACACTATTTGTAGCTTGATTAGAATGAGTTTAAATAAGCTACCTTCTCCTTACTATGCTTTAGTTGAAGCCTAGGAACTCAATACTGTTTTTAATTTATTCTGGCTACCATAAGTTAATTTTCAAGCAAAATATTTAATAATGGTTGCTTAGATAAATAGTTTTAGTTGAAAACTTATGTTGTTGGCCAACCATTAAAATGACTTTGCCTTTAAACTAAGTCTTGTATTTGTCAACATAAAGATAGCAAGGAGAGTTTCTATGTGATGTTTTCTCTACTAAAATTGTGTCCATTATATAACAATTGGACACATGAAACATTCACTGCCAACCTGACATTATCCCTTTGAGTTGATTACACATTTTCTGAAGGGATAGTGGAGTAGAGACAGGTTTCCATGGGTGCTGGATAACACTTGGCAAGTTGGGTACGGTAATCTATCTTATCGATCTTGCAATAATGTTGGAGTTATTCTACGAAATCAGAGTTGATATGCTAAAAGCAAGATCAGGGATGGATCTATATAGATCCTCGTAGAGGCACATGCCTCAATGAAAATTTTAATTTTTCATTAAGAGATGTATAAATTTGTGTAGGTGTCCTCATACAATCTGTATTGGTGTCCCCATTACAGAGGAGTAGACCATGTAGAGGACAATTGAGATGGACTATTTTTGGAATCTAATAGTATTTTGCTAGCTTTTGTGAGGGAAGATGAAAATGATCATGTATTGATATGAAAATGACAATTAAAAAATATTATGTGTTGAGATCTTTGTATTTATTATATAAACGAGTTCTTTTCTAGGTACAATTTTTATTTATATAAAATTTTAAGTTGTATGTATAATTGTATATGTGTAATTTTATGTATAATTGTATATAAAATTTTATTATATAAAGTTTATTTTTTTGGGTCTGCCTTGGCTTAGATGGGCATGTAGCAGACTAGCAGTAAAGTAATAGATAAAAATTGAGTCTATTTGTTGAAAAGTTCACTGGTAGCTTCAATTATATGATGATAGAGAGTTGCCTGAGATGGTTGGGTGTGGTTATAGAAATGATAAGATCATGGTTGATGGAGCTTCTAGAACTAGGTATAAACTTATCGAACCTGATTTTGTAATTGTTAATTTACACTGAAGATTTCCTTCATATGAAGTTGAATAGAGGAAAAGGATCCGCACAGCCAACCCAGAAGGTTGAGATTAAAAGTTTTCTTCTTGTCTATGAAGCACGGATTCACCCCCGGAGGCCACGAATCGGTGTCTGACTCGAATCGGACACTGATTCGCCCCGATACGTGCACGACACGTGTCGGACACGGTCAAAGCCGTGTCCGACACGGGTCAACAGTCAACTTGGGCGGATACGGTCAAATTGAGGGCGGATACGGGTGAGATTCGTGAAATCAAAAAAACTGTGATTCGGATGAGTTAACAAAACCCGTAACCGAAACCCAAAAACCCATATCGAAACCCTAAAATCACCTCTTCTCTCCGCTGTTCTCTTTTTACCGCCGCTGCTCCTCATCTTCTCTCTGCGCCTCTAGATCTCGTCCTCGATCTCCGACGCCGCTCGTCCTCGATCTCCGACGCCGACGTCCTCAGAGCTCGTCCACATATCTCGTCCTCAGAACTCATCCTCAGATCTCCGACGTCTCTCTCACTAGGTAAGATCTCTATCTTCGATCTCTCTCTCTCTCGATCTGGTCGATTCGGCAGCGGACAGTGACGCCGCTCGTTCTCTTCTCTCTCTCTCTCTCTCTCTCTCTCTCTTCGTCTCTCTCTCTCTCTCTCAGATCTCATCCTCTGTCTCTCTCTTTTTCTCTTTATCTCCTCGTCTCTCTGGTTCTCTCTCCGTCTCTGGTTCTCTCAAGATTTCGTTGGTAATTTATTTAGGGTTAATGGGTTGGTTTAGGGTTAATGGGTTAATGGGTTGGTCCGTCTCTGGTTCTCTCAAGATTTTGTTTTTTTTTCAATTTTAGTTTCAATTTCAGTTTTAATTTCTTACCATATGAATATTTTTTCAATTTCAATTTCAGTTTTTAACACAAATGAATTATTAACTGAATTTAAACTTTGATTGACTGCATTTGTGTGTTTGATTGCTGAACAGCCTGAACTTATATAAATGTGTTGTTGATATTCACATATGATTAAATTGGTCTGTTAGATAAATAGCATTAGTTAAAAGGGCACGACATAATTCTTTTTGTGCATAATTATGAAGATAAATATTGTCTTTCTTGAAGGTAAGTAGCTGTTAACTATACATGTGTCTTTTTAAATAGATAAACTTATATGCATGAACATGGTCATTGAGAATTGTGATGCAAAATTTGAATTTATATCTTATATGCATGAACATGGTCATTGAGAATCTGAGATCATTATCACTCAACTATTATTACAATATGAATATACATATTTAATGAATATATTATGGACATTTATTTTGGCAGCTGTGTTGGAAAATTTGATTGATCCTTCATCCTTGCTTGTTGCTACTTTACTCTCAAGTATAATCTGTAAAAAGAAAAACAAAGTCAGTGAGCAACAACTTATTAATTAGTATAATTAGAAAAGAGCTTAAAATAGTAATTAGCATGCTAACTAATAAATTATGAACATGTAAATATTTAATACATATTTCTTGCAATGTAATTCATATTATGTTCCATATATGTTATGGTTTAATATTTAATTAGTACTTGTTGTTGTTTATAGCAATGGAAGCAGAAGGTAGTTCTGATGCACAGTCTGTTCAAGATGATCACACTCCTTTGTGGAAGTATGTCACAAAGTTGGAGAAGATGGGTAAAGGAGGGGGGAATTGGCAGTGGATGTGTAGTTACTGTCATGAAGTATTTACATCCTCTTACTCAAGGGTCAAAGCTCATCTAATGCGGACTAGTGGGCAAGGAATTAAAGTGTGCAAAGGTGTTAAGCCGCACAATATGAGAGACATGCAAGCTGATATGGATCAAGCAGAAGCAAGGGTGATGGCTTCTATGCCTAGGACAGTGACGCTGCCAGGTTCTTCAGCATCAAGTGCAGCAGCAGGAAGTCAACGCATGCCTTCTCGTCTAAGTGAGCCAAAGAGGAGGAGGGGAGTCACCACTGTTGAACAAGCCTTCAATACAGGGGCAAGAGATGAATTGGATTCAATGATTGCAAGGATGTTCTATACTGGTGGGTTGTCATTTAATTTGGCAAGAAATCCTTATTTCTCCAAGATGATCACATATGCCGCAAGTAATTCAATTACCGGTTACAAGCCTCCGGGTTATAATTCTTTGAGAACCACTCTTTTGCAACGTGAGAAGGCTCACGTAGAGAGGTTGTTGGAGCCCATCAGGGGCACATGGAAGCAGAATGGGGTTTCTATTTGTAGTAATGGCTGGGCAGATGCACAGAGAAGACCACTGATAAATTTTATTGCGGTCTCAGACAACGGGCCAATGTTCTTGCACTGTGTGAATGCTGAGGGAGAGCAGAAGAATAAATATTTCATTGCAGAGAAGCTTGAAGCTTGCATTAGAGAGGTGGGGCCTCAAAATGTGATCCAAATCATTACTGATAATGCTTCGGCATGTAAGGCAGCAGGGGCAGTTGTGGAGGGAAAATTTCCACATATTTTCTGGACTCCATGTGTTGTTCACACCCTCAATCTTGCCCTTAAGAATATTTGTGCTGCGAAGAATACAGAGGCTAATGCAATTGCTTATGCAGAGTGCAGCTGGATTACAGAGGTATATGATGATGCTTTGATGATTAAGAACTTCATCATGAATCACTCAATGAGGCTGGCTATGTTCAATGAGCATTCGAAGATGAAGCTTCTTTCAATTGCTGATACTCGATTTGCTTCATGGATCATCATGCTAAAGAGGTTCACTGTGATCAAGAGAAGCCTCCAAGATATGGTTCTTAGCGACCGTTGGAGCTCGTACAGAGATGATGATGTGGGAAAAGCACAGTTTGTTAAGGAGAAAGTGCTTGATGATTTGTGGTGGGATAGGGTGGATTATATTATTGCTTTCACTGCTCCTATATATGATATGATTCGGCTCACCGATACCGACAAGCCCAGCCTTCATTTGGTATATGATATGTGGGATACAATGATTGAGAAGGTGAAGGTTGTTATTTACAGACATGAGAGCAAAAGAGAAAATGATCCCTCCTCATTTTATGATGTCGTACACAAGATCTTGGAGGATAGATGGAATAAGAGCAACACGCCACTTGAGTGCTTGGCGCACTCTTTGAATCCAAGGTAATAATTTAGATTATGTTATCAATTCATTATTTTTGATGTGATTATTTTTATTAATAATGTCTAATTCAATGTTAAACTTTAATAGATATTATCACGAGACATGGCTCAATGAGAATATCCATCGGCAAGCACCCCATCAGGATGAGGAGATCTCTTCGGAAAGGACCAAGTGTTTGAGGAGATATTATCCTAATACCGATGAACGGAGGATGGTTAACTTAGAATTTGCTAAATTCTCGGCTGCTCTTGACATTTTTAGGGATCCAGATTCTCTTGCTGATAGAGGATTTATGGATCCAGCAGCATGGTGGGCGCTCTATGGATCCTCAACTCCAAATATTCAAGCATTGGCCTTCAAGCTTCTAGGCCAACCCTGCTCATCCTCTTGCTGCGAAAGGAATTGGAGTACATACTCATTCATTCACTCTTTGAAGAGGAACAAGATGACACCGGAAAGGGCAGAAGATCTTGTGTATGTGCATAGCAATCTTCGTTTGCTTTCTCGGTCATCCCAAGAATATAAAGAAGGAGAATCGAAGCTGTGGGATATTGGTGGAGATGCATTCGACTCATTTCAGGGTGCCGGTATTCTTGATGTCGCCACCTTGTCTCTTGATGAACCCACCATGGAGGCTATGTTGTTTGCTGATGATGAAGGGCCAGGCAATGAAGAAGTCATCGAACTAGCTTCCACTTTATCTTGATGTATTTTTTATTTACAAACTTGTTATTTTGTGATAGAATGAGTAGAGTATGTACTCCAATTCCTTTTTGTTTACAAACTTGAAACTCGTTATTTTGTGATAGAATGAGTATGTACTCTAATTCCTTTTTGTTTACAAATTTGTTATTTTGTCATAGATTCATAATTTAGATTGTTAGTTGAATTTTATAAATTTGTTATATATATAATAATTTGAAAAAAAATTCCTCGCCGTATCCCCGTATCCTATTTTTTTGGATTTTGCCGTATCCCGTATCCGTGTCCGTGTCGTATCCGTATCCCGTATCCGTATCCGTGCTTCATTGCTTCTTGTAGCTGTTTTAGTTGCAACTCCAAAAACATTTATGATGTGAGCCAATAGTCCTATTGGTTGTGTTAAAAACCAACCAACAGCTCCAAAATATTACCAAACTTGGTGTTCATTCATGTTCATGTTTACCAGTCACAAACAGCACACTTATTACTCATATTTATGCTTATCAAAAACAACACACTGATTATCCCATATACACCAGAGGGGTAGAGAGGACATGTTGATGGGAGCCCCTTACTGCACGACCATAGCCTATCAAACACCTTCTCACATATACTCACATCACAATTCTACAGAAAATAATCATTGTGCATAAACAGAAGAAGAAAGATAAAAGAAAAGCAACAACTCGTGTTCTGCCACTTATACTGCTCTTTTTTTGCATAAAGATTTGGATCAAATATACATTATTATATTTGTTTTCACTTTGTTACTGTGTATAGTTTATACAAGTTTCTATTTTCAAGTTAGGTAGCATTTAATGTTTTATTCCTTTTTGCCAGGGTGAAAGCTTCTACAATCCTTATATTCCAGGAGTTTTGGAGGAATTAACTCAGAAGGGGTTGGTTGAAGAAAGTGAAGGTGCCCGTGTGATATTTATTGAAGGTCAATCTATCCCTTTAATTGTTGTAAAGAAGGATGGTGGATTTAACTATGCATCAACTGATCTAGCAGCTCTTTGGTTAGTATATGTTCCCACTAAGTACCCAATTTTCTTTCTGGAAAAATATCATACTAGAAAATGCAGTGGTCTTTAGGCCATACACAAGTACTGGCTGGCATTAGAATTCTAAGTCATTGATTGAGGGGCTACAACCATTAACCTTCTGTATGCGCATTGGTGCTGTTTTCTTTGATCCTCATTTTTGTTGGGGTGGGGAAGGAATTTTATTGAACAATGCTATTGGCTCCTTCTCCTTGTTGGACCTATATGAAATGAAATCGCGGGTCATCAGAAAGGGAGGGAAAGAATTAAAACATCATGTATAATAGTTCATATGATGCAACAAGTGTTGTGCTGGCTGTTGTTTACAAGTTTCAACCACTAGATATTACCAAAAGTGAACAGGGGTTTCATTCAAATATGCTATAGTACTAAAAATTCTACACTCAGTGGTCACCTGTTACCTGGGTACTGAAGCTGTACACCATACCCAACACGTACCCGTACGCAAACTCCTTGGACACTCCTTGCATAAATGCAAACATTTATTCATGCATGTTCTCAATTATACAATACATGTTTTAATTTAAAACACTTGTCATACATTTGTGGACACATCTCCTACACTTCAAACCCACTTCTTGAAATTTGTTGGACATAGGTCAGGTTCTGAATAATGATTTTGAAGGGTCATTTCGATGTCTAGTTCAAAAACTAGTGATTTTCCAATTTTTAATCCACCTAATAAAAGAAACATAAAAATGTTATAGGACATTTAATTCTCATCCTTGTTCTCTTATAAATTATTAATTCCAATATATAATATATGTGATGTGAATATTTATATAGCCGTGTCCTCGTACCCTACCTTTTACAAATTTGTTGTGTCCCGTACCGGTACCCGTACCCATATTGGCACTCGTACCCGTACCCGTAACCGTGCAACATAGGCGGTCATAGATTGCTAATGAATTAAAGTAATAATTTGGTTTCAGTTTTCAAAAGAAACCTTTAGACCTACCTCATGTTTGTTGCTAATGAATTAAAGTAATAATTTGGTTTCAGTTTTCAAAAGAAACCTTTAGACCTACCTCATGTTTGGGGTTTTGATTTTGGAAAGAAAGATTTGTTTCAGTTTTCAAAAGAAACCTTTAGACCTACCTCATGTTTGGGGTTTTGATTTTGGAAAGAAAGATTTGTAACCTCTCTTAGATGGTGCCACATGCAGAACATGTGCCAGAATTCTAGTAAAGCTATGTTTGGTTTGTTGATGAATGTGATGGTGTATTTGTCTGTTAGAATGTTCTTTAGTATAAGCAGTGAGAAATTTTGTTGTTGATATAAATTATAAATGATTACAGGTGCATTTTTTCCCTTACAAGTTTTCTGTACTATTTCTAAATCCTTTGCAGAAATTCATAATTACTGCTTAGTAAAAACTTAATGCAACTTGGCATATTTAAGTAACACAATTTAGAAGTACGCTTGGGAATGCAGAACTTAGTTCTTGGGTCTAACTTTTATTTTATCAAGTATACCTTGAACTAAGTTTACAGCTACTGTACTTTTTAGTTCTTCTACAGTCTATTACTTGGTCGTTTAAAGTTCTCTGCTCTCATGCAAGGGATGTTAGCTGAAATCCTGTGCTAGCATGTCCATTTTATAACGGTTGGGCAGCTGAAAAGCAGTTGATCTTTTTGGTGAAATGATTTATTAGTTGATGCAAAATGTATTACTGGCTTCTAAAAGAGGCCATTTTTTTTACTATTTTGTTCTCCTTATTCACTGTTTTGTTGTTCCATGAGAAACCTAATTTTGTGTATACTAATTGTCTTTGATGCTATTTAATCCATTTTAGGTATCGTCTTAATGAAGAGAAAGCTGAGTGGATCATATATGTAACAGACGCTGGTCAGCAGTTACATTTTAGCATGTTATTCAGTGTAGGTACATCATGTCTAATGAATTTTTTATCAGCTTAGCGCCTACAATCCTGTAGCTGCAATCAACTGTTTGATAGCTATTGCTCCAGTGATATAGGCACATGGGATATTTCCATAGAACATACTTTTACGGGCTATGCTATTTTTGACTGCACGTATCTCAGGCTGCTAGAAAAGCTGGCTGGCTTCCAGAAAACAGCAATTTATATCCGAAAGCAAACCATGTTGGTTTTGGACTTGTTCTTGGATCAGATGGAAAGCGCTTTCGAACTCGTAGCTCAGAAGTTGTTCGATTAGCAGAATTGCTTGATGAAGCTAAAGATCGCAGTAAAGCCGAACTCAGGACACGTCTTGAGGATAGTGGTAATTAATTTGCTTTCTTCACTTTGTCATGTTTGAATTTGATATTTTATCGTCATCTTTGATGAGTTTGTCCATTATATTTGATTTTCAGAATTAAGGAAGCCTATCACATTGATGTTCAATATCATTAATCATGTCTATTTTCTTTATGGTTTATATTAAACAGGGAAAGTTGCAGAATGGACAGACGAAGAGCTTGAAGAAACTGCAGAGGCAGTTGGCTATGGCGCTGTTAAGTAAGCTCTTTTGAAATGTTATTCATCTTTGATTCTCAAATTTATATCTATTGCTAATCATTTGATAAGAAATTCTATGTGCATTGCTTTTGTTATCTGTTGTTCATTCTGCGAAATTACTATGCTTCATTTTTCTGAAGTTGGGATAACTCTTCAGTTACTTATTATATATGATCATCATAGAGAACTGCACATGGTTGTGAATAATTAAATAACAGCTACGTTAAGATTATCAATGAATAATTATTATATGTCCATACGTATACTATTTTCATACATCTAATACCCTTGTTGATTTTCTTACAAAAATTTGAAAATGGAGATGTGAAAGCAGATGTTTTCCACTTTGTTTTTCAGTATAAATAAAGGTTTTTGTTAATTGGCCTAAAAACTTTAGACTTGAATATTGATATCTGCTTAATTTGAATGCGTCAAGTCAGTTTGTTGCTTCTTACAAAAATGTGAATGCATCTTTGTCTTTGTTGTTTCTTGTGAAAATGTGGATATATCTTAGTCTTTTTAATTTTTTTGTAATTTTCCTTGAAAACAGGTATGCAGATCTGAAGAACAACCGATCAACTAACTACACATTCAGTTTTGAGCAAATGCTAAATGACAAGGTTAGCTGTGTCTTTATACCTTACTCAGGCTTGAGTGTATCTCTTCTGCTCCTTGTACGGACAGCAGAGGGCAGTGTTTCCTTTTTAAAAAGTCATGAACCAAGCCATCTGTCAGATAATTACTGAATATAAAATGTATTGCTGTCTGATGGTCTACTATGTACTTTTTATACAGTTCTACCTTATCTCTTATTTTCCATTTTCATTGTTTCATCCATGTGACAGGGAAATACTGCTGTATATCTGTTATATGCTCACGCTCGTATATGTTCCATCATCAGGAAGTCTGGTAAAGATATTAAAGAACTGATGAAGGTAGGGTTTTGTTTATGAATTTCTATATGTAAGCTTCTGTTTTAGATGCTTCTAAGTTTTGTGATATTTTTTTATCTGCACTTCTTTTGATGTTATCGTATTTCTTTTTTTTTGTTTTCCAGAATGGTACTGTTGTGTTGGCTCATCCAGATGAACGCATCTTGGGGCTTCATCTGATCCACTTTGCAGAGGTATAAATAGCAATGCTGAAAATATGGTGTTTGGCTTGAGCAGACGTTTCATTTTCGTGGTTTAATTCTTCAACGTTGTTGACTATATGATTAATTTATTTTCCCGATTAAACACCTTATGCATCGCAGTGGTGTTTATTAAGCATTATGGATTCACGAAACAGTCCTATTACACATTTATGTTCAACTAGTTTCTGTCCAATTTACTCAGAATGTTTGCATTACGAATCAATTAGAAATTAAAAATGTTTGAATTTTTTATTGAGTTCGTCTGCTAGGAAAAAGAAGTTCTGTCAGCTGACCAATAAAATAAAATAAAATAAAACGCAACGTTTTGTTTTTAGTAGCATGTCTATTTTTATGATTATAAACATTGTGAGAGCTTTCATAATCTGCTAACAATCTTGAACTCCAATCTTTAATATTTCCTGTTATACAATTTATTACCTACTGCCTCTTAACGTATGGAGAACCATCTTCCAGTTCATTCCCCAGCAGTCACTGACTCATTGATTACTAGTTGGCCAACAAGCTTCATTTTGTGTTAGCTCCAATGCACTTGTATACATTTCATCCTCCTTACAATGAACTATGAGTAGTACAATTTATGCCTTCTTGAGCAAAACTCTGGTTTCATCTGGATTGAGAAAAAGAAGTGCTCACCTTTCCTCTACAAACGAACGTACAAATTAAAATATATTTGCACCTACCACTCCTTAGTAACCAGCAATTTGGATTTCCTTTGTGAAATAGCTGTTCTCAAGCAAGTAAAGATTTCTATGGATCAAATATCTGTTGTTGTTGCCTTTGTGCTCAAACAGTGTAGTTTGATGTATATCATACAGTTTGCAAATCTTATTTCACAGAAGTTTGGGCTTCCTTTATGTAACAACGACTGATCTTCCGCGAGTAAATAATATATATGCTTCAACTGTCTATGTTTGCTCTTGTGCTCAAGCAGGTGCTTTTTGTAGCTTGGTGTGTATTCTTTATAAAAGACATCTACTGCTGCTTTTATTGCCTTTTATGTTCATAAATGGATTTATTCTCTTAGGTCAGATGGCTCTTGATATAACTATATTAATTTGATACCATGCCTATGTGCTTGTTTTCCTCCTTTTTGTTACCTTTTTAGATGATAAAGTTGAGATGTATTCCAGCTATATGCATTCAATGGTTTGCATATCATAGTTCATGTTATAAGATTTATGAGCTTGTTTCTGTTTAACTTCATCCAGATGGTTGAGGAGGCCTGCATCAATCTCTTGCCAAATGTCATATGCGAGTACCTGTACAACTTATCTGAAATATTCACAAGATTTTATACTAATTGCAAGGTATGTTATTTTGTTAGCTTCCATGTACTGTGATTTGAAGCCTCATTTTCAGCCCATGCGTCTTTCACCATCGTTTTGTTTCTTATTTGTCAGAAATAGTGACTGAGAGATTATAATAATAGAAAGTTCACATCCACTGAAAATGAACACTTAACTTTTGGTATCTTGTGACATGAAATTGTAGATTAGCGAGACAAAAGATGTTGGACTTTTCAGTATCTGCGGTCAGTAGTTAAAATAAGAACTGGAAAGTTGCATGACAAAGCCATATGGGCTTTCTAAAAGCAGGGTTTTAGGCAAGGTTCAAAGTAGCGGGAGGCTGATATTTGATGCATATGGTATCATATTTTAAAGTATGCAGATCCAATCCAGTCAAAGCTGATGAACCAATAATATTGGCTAATTATGTGTGATACAAATTGATATGGGCTAAATAATGACTAATACAATAGAATATGATAAATATGAGGAGGTTTGAAATGCCAAAAGTTAGTTTGATAGTGTTGTATTTGGAGAACTGCAAATGGAAAGGTTGTGCTTAAGTGGACTTGTTTCATATATCAATCTCCAGACCAGCGGGAACCCCCCATATTTTTATGGATTTATGGTTTTTTGGTGTATATGTCATATTGATCATGCCCTTTGATGCAGTAAGTATTTTCCAGGTTCTTATTAATATTCTGTTGCACCAGCCTTTTGTCCAAACTGCGTTTAAGTTGCTGCATGAGACGAGTGGATATTGGTACAAAATGGTTAAATAAGGGGGCAACGTTATGGAAAGCGGCAAAAAGCACACCTTAGGCACTCCTTGATGCGAAAGCGGTGCTTTGCTAAGGCCATAAGTGGTCAATGAAAGCGATGGACTACTTTCTTCTCGAAAGAGTGATTAAGCGCTTCCGAGAAGGAAACAGTCCAAGAACCCCATTTTTTTTTTAAGATCTGCTTTGAAAACCCAACCTAATCTCTGTTTTAATGTTTTCATGTTAAATTGCAGATCTGATTTTTAAGTTAAAATTTTCCAACTTAAAATCCAAACCCGTTTTCAACTTAAAATCGAAATCCGTTGTTGTGTAAAAAGAATTTTTGAATGGTGATATTGATGGTGAAGAAATGCCTAAGAGTTATCACTTTTATTATTTAGGATCAATTATTTGTCAAGATGGTGAGATTGAGGATACTGTGCTATATTGAAGAAAAGCAGGATGCTTAAAATGGAGGAGTGCTTTTAGAAGTCTGATGTGACCATGGAATACCTATGAGAGACGAAGAACTTTTATATGATAGTTCTAAGACCAACAGTGCTTTCTAGATCTGGATGTTGACTGGTGAAAAGTTAAAAAACATTATGGAGGAAAAAATGAGCATAACAGAAATAAGAATGTTAAAAGATAGGATGAGCATTCCTTGTAGATTCGAGGTTGCTCTTATCAAGGATAAAATGAGAGAGAATCGATTGAGATGGTTTGACTATGTATAATGGAGGCCAGTAAATGCACAAGATTTTCGTTGTCTCGTGAGATTCTATAGCCATAATATACATTGTAATTGCTGTTCATAGTGTCTACCCTCCCTGAGTTTAAAGTAAAAACATCATATGAAGGAATTGCTTTGTGGCTATAGTTTTTCTGATAATTGTTTCTGCATGAAGCGACGGTAAGCCAGTTCAATATGAAAGAACCTTTTTAACTGGTAAGGTCTATGTATTCCTGGGTATACATACTAATAGTCTAATATTATCCCCTGAAGGTTGCACATTTCAGTATAAATGCACATCTTTTTTTTTGTGTTTGTTTTGTTTTTTTTTTTTTGGTGGGGGGTGGGGGTTTTTTTTTTTTTGGTGGGGTGGGGGGTGGGGTTAGGGTTGTCAGGGGGACATTACTTACGTTTTTATGTAACCGTGCTTTTGAACATATCAATATCCTGCGGTTTCGAATCTTTGTGGAATCGTGCAGGTTGTTGGATCAGCAGAAGAGACGAGTAGATTGCTGTTATGCGAGGCGACGGCTGTTGTCATGAGGAAATGCTTTCACCTTCTTGGGATCAAGAGTAGATTGCTGTTATGCGAGGCGACGGCTGTTGTCATGAGGAAATGCTTTCACCTTCTTGGGATCAAACCTGTCTACAAAATATAAGGCTACTTTGGATCTTACTTTTCCATTTAGCTTGCGTTCTCATTCATCTTCAAATTTATCCGGTGTGTTAACAAATTAATTTTGGTGAAAGAATTTAAGGCTGCGTTTGGGAACTTTGATTTGGATTTGAAAACTTTGATTTAAAATCAAGGGATTTTAAATTTAGAATTTGAAATTCATGATTTAAGAAATCTTTTGTTTGGATATCTTTATTAAATGAAAGGATTTGAAATCTTTGATTTCAAAATCTAGTGTTTGGGTACTTTATTATACATGAATTTGAATTTAAAATTGATAAAAATTTATTCTCTTAACCCATCTTGTTTACATCAAATGCAATGGAGATGTGTAATATAGTAACCAAAAAACACAAATTTAGATAAGTTGATAGCTAAACTGATCTCTGATACTTTGCTAGGCCCCAGCAAACAGATAAAACACTTCATATAATAAGTATCTTTCAATTTTTTCGTTAACGTACTTGGACATCACTTTGATATACTCTCCACTAGTATCTTTACAAAGACATCCAATAAAAGAGCAAATGTACCAAACCACAAAACATCAGATGCCAATATATTGGATTACACTATAAGCCACAATCATTCACCATAGAAGCAAACACCACAACAAGTGACAATGAGAAACAAAAAAGGTGAGACCAAAGCACAAGCACTCAGCATAATATCACGTTTGACCTGCGAAAAAAAACCCATAACGTTGATATTAGAAAAGCCTGAGACTGCTTATGAGAAAAGCATACTGGATATAAAATGATCTCAGAACATATATGACACATTCTGTTGCAATAGATCACCATAACACACAGACCAACTAAGTAGAAAAACAAATAATATTGAGAAGGTAAAGGTGGCATTCACAATTAATGCAGTTCAATTGAATGACCTGCATGTATATATGAGTTGACAAGGTGTAGAAATTTGCTAATCAAGTTGTGAGAAGTACAAAACTGAGGAAAACTCTCTAAACTTATCTTAATTTGCTAATCAAGTTGTGAGAAATTTGCTAATCATGTATATTTTGTTAACATATCTTAGATGCCACTGCTGCTATCACTCAAACTGAGGAAAAGAAAGTTCATCTCAAACTTTGTATTTTACCTTAAATAGTAGAAGCAATCCAAGAAGACCAATGGTAGCAGGTGGCAATAGATTGTCTTGGGATGCAAATCCACCAGCTATGCCTTTTTATGCAATTAAATCAGCAGCAAGAAGCACGAAATTAGTCCTTTCATCCTTAGTTGTTCAACACAATTATTTGCATTGCATGCATGTAAAAAGTTGATTGTATATATTGAAGTTAACTAACCGAACTTGAAGAGTACATATGAAGCCAAACTAAACATTTTTAGAAAGATCATACCTACCAAATATAGATTATAGGCTTACGAGATTCATCCAAAGAGTGGTCTTAACATTCCATCGAGCTCATAATCAAGCCACAGCTCAAAGAGGAAGCAGAAGTTTAATTAAGCTTCGAGCTAGTTTTTGTCCAGCTATTATTTTAGCCTTTTTTTCCCTCCTCCTTATCTTGCTATGTATTATGCTTCAACTCTTGATGATTTGTGGGTAACGTCATTTATTTTCATACATTTTTATAAACTCTTGTCTCTAGTACATAGAACATCACATAACCTCTTAAACACTTGAGGATTCATCCTTAGTTGTTCAACACAATTATTTGCATTGCAAATAAGAGTTCGAATCCAAGACTTTCTAAGATATGTCCTTTCATCCTCTTCTTCGTTTGTTCTTGAACTCCCCTTCAACATGTGCTTTGTATAGTACCAAACACCAATGGTAGCAACTATAAAACTGACCGTTACCATAACAATATCCTCATCCTCTCTCCTCTCAAATTCTTCCCTTGTACGTTTATGTTGGATCATTGAATCCCTTCCATCATTTATCATTTTTAACCTATCACATTAAAAGTCCTTCCATCATTTATCATTTTTAACCTATCACATTAAAAGTTGAACATGCAAGCAGATTACACATATATCATGAATATATATTTAGCAGGATGCAAATTTAATGAAGTCCTAAGAAAAAACAACTCAAGACATAGAAATCTTAACAACAACAGATAACTTAATAAATAATGAACAAGACTAACTTAAAATTCAATTTACCTTCTGAAACTAATTGACACCACACCTAAACTCCTACTGAGAACCAAGGATACAAAGTTGAGAACATAACATGATGCAAATATGAGGACATGACTATTCCCCCAAGTAAGACGCTGAAACATGACAACGTCACAACAACTTTTTTTATTTGAACATGTGTATGCATAAAGAAAATAGTACATTAACTTAGTTTCTTAATTTGATCTTGTAACGTGTCTGTGTGAAGAGAGGGGGATTTAATCATTAGATGGAGAAATGATGTCATGGGCATGCATGTGGGAAACAGCATCAGAAAAAGTCATATGCACCCTTTTGTTATTATCAGAGATTTAGATTCAAACCGAGACCTGCGTGTTCGTGCTGCTGCCAGACTGGCAAGTGAATGGAATGTAGCACTAGCTAGTATATATTAACTAGATGGTCGACAGGTAATTAATTAAATTGAGTTACAGGTTTTATTGTTTGAGTGAATAAAACGTGCAAACTGTGGCAGAGCACATGCTTGCATGGAATATGAAACCCAAAAGCATCAACTCTGCAAATTATGTTGTCATGGCTGGCTCAGGTAACTAAACAAACCAGAACTTCATTACACAACAGCTGATCAAAGATGAAGAAGCTCTCTCCTGCACTGCCACTCCTCTTCCTCCTCCTGACATGTTCCTGCCTCCAAGCTGCCATGGCTGGCTCAGGTAACTAAACTAAAAACAGCTACTCCCTTACGTTTTCCGTGTTTAGTGCCCATGGCTAATCTACTTGAATCCAGATTGACTCAAACATACTTGAGTCATGAGTTCAAGCATATTTAGTCATATATCTGTCTCATAACCCACACATCAACTGAATAGATCAAATACACTCCTAACAATTATGTTGTCATGCGTACAGCTTTCTGTGATGGCAAGTGCAAGGTGAGGTGCTCAAAGGCAAGCGTTCAAGACAAGTGCCTCCAGTACTGCGGGCTTTGTTGTGAGGAATGCCACTGTGTCCCCCCCCGGAACATATGGAAACAAGGACAAATGCCCGTGCTACAGGGATAAGACTACCGGCACTGGCAAGAGAAAGAGGTCCAAATGTCCATAGTTCAATGTTGGGAGAGAGGTTATCGGTTATCTGAGGTTTTGATGCTTCTATGAGTATGTATGAGCCATAATCTACCAGTGTGTGCAGTGAATTATGAAGAATGTTTGGTATGCTATTTTGTTTGTGTAACTGTATTGTTTATGAGAAGATGGAATGCTATTGAGAACACTAAATAAAAGTAACATTCATAAAATCTAGTGAGTGTCTTGAAATTTTTCAGGTACGGATTCATCAAATCAGGACAAAGAAATACAGTTACAAATGAAGAAAAGAAAAAAAAATCAGGAAAACATGGATACTCTCCAATTTGTTGCTTCAACTGGAATAAGAGAGAGTACAAGACCAGCATAAATGCAACCTGAATTAAACTAAAGAATCAGTGAGAAGTGAGTTGTTGCCAACTCAAACAGTCGTGGCATCCACCATACCATCAAGTTCTTATTCCACAAGCATCACTCACCTATGACTAGAATCACCCGCATCAAGAAAATAGAGCTATGGATATTATTTTGTCATTTGAGTACTGATTTTCTCAACAATCCATAAACTGTTGCACACAATCTACCAACAGAACTCTACAAACAGTATGATAACACACTCAGATACCCCAAACAAAGGAATCTCACATCCTCAGATCCCCAAAAACCAACCAAAAAAAATTTAAAAATTAAAAAACAGCAAAAATTGAAGTCATACCTTGAATCCCAATCAGAAACTGCAGAAGTTTGAGGAGAGCAACCGAAAGAGATGAGAAAACAAGCTACAAAAGAGAAAATCCAAGTCAGATCAGATCTAGGGTTTCGATGGAAGGGGGAGAGAGAGGAGTAAAGGGGGAGATCGAAACCGAGAGAGGAGAAGGGGAGAGAGGAGAGGTACCTGCGATGGATCGAGATCGAGATCGAGATTAAGATCGAGCTTTGAGATGGAGATGGAGATGGAGATCGAGTTCCAGTCGGGACTTTGACAAATCGAGTTCCAGTCGGGAGCTTTGAGATGGAGATGGAGATCAAGTTCCAGTCGGGACTTTGAGATGGAGCGGCGTGAGAGAGGAGAAAAAGAGGAGTCGGGGTTTTGAGGGGTTGGATTTTGTGGGTGAGGATTTGTCAAATACCAAGTATTGTGCTCAAATTTGAAATCCATCTTTTTAGGCTTTTCAAATCCATTGTATAAAATGACTTGATTTAAAATCATGGTCCAAAATTGAGCCCAAACATAAAATTTGGATTTGAAATACCTAGAATTTCAAATCCAAGCTCAAATCAACATTCCCAAACGCAGCCTTAGGGAAAATCCCGTCACTGGGATAACATCTCAAGCTTCGAACCGAGCGTGCCATCACGTAACAGTAATATTGGTTCATGTAATTTTTGGAATATGTACTTGACTATCTATATCAACAATCCTTACAAGTTGGTTGCGTCTATTGCTGCCTTTGGAAAAAGTATTAAGTTCATCGAGAGTTATGACATTAGGGTTGGGGGTATTGATTGGGTCAAATTGGAGCAAGTGGGAAAATAGTTCAAATGGAATAATTTTATTCCTTTGGGATATTTTGAGTGGGGTAAAGACTTAAAGTGGGATAATGTCAGGTAATGGGACATTTGAGCCTTTGATTTAATAATTTATGTGGGATAATTGATGATGTGATATTTTATTAAAATATAATTTTATCTATTAATTACTTCTAAATTAACTTATCCAATTGATTTAGTATATTATTATAATATAAATATTATTTTATTTTATATTAAAATATAATATGTTGTACTATAATTATTGTATAAAATATTATAATATTTTACTTTATTCAATATAATGTTTTTTAAAATACTATATTATAATAAAATAATATATATATATATATATTTATGTCAACTTAAGTAGACCATCCATCAAAGTTTCTATCCATTGATGAAAAGTTTTTTCATATGATGTACGGATCTCTAGGTATCATTAATGGATAGAAACTTTGGTGGATGATCCACTTAAGTTGACATAAGTTTTTTTTATTAGTCTCAACTACATACCTTTTAGTCTCTCAACTAGTTAGTGGACAGATTATTAGTTTTTATTGAATAATTAATAGTGGTAATAAAAAGCAATAGTCTCTCAACTACATACCTTTTAGCTGTAGAGTCTATCCAAATCCACTAATAAGTGATATTGAGATCAAATACATGATAATTATTGCAAACTTTGCTATTTTGTAAAGCATTATAGTGCAAAAATGAAAGGACTATGCTGAAAATTTGGATTTTAACTATCATCTTTTTCCGTAATGTACACTATTTACCTACCTTTTAGCTAGAGACTATCCAAATCCACTAATAAGTGATTTGAGATCAAATACATGATATTACTCATTTATTGCAAACTTTGCTATTTTTAAATCAATAGAGTGCAAAAATGAAAGGACTATGCTAAGATTGGATTTTAATGGTCAGTCATCAGCAATTCTCCCCAATGATCACGGTTCAAAATTAGCTTTTACGGTGAAGGAGATGCATAACTGCAAGATAGACATAAGTTAATTTATGAGTAATGTCAACCGTACAAGTTTTTAATATTCTCATATATATTAAAAATCCATACCATTAGATATGATCTACTATGCACAAGCAATTTATCAGAAACAAAATTTTCAATGATTTCAACGTCTTTAAGCGGTGTTAGAATCTTTACAAAAATTGAGTAACTTTTTACTCTTTGAAGTACTATTCAAAGCACCAATATTGACTTAATTGTTAAAAAATTTGTTACTAAATATAATATAGGATTAATCGCTTAAATAAAACTTTAAATCATGGGTATTTGCAAAAATACCCCCCGAATGTTAGTATTTGCAAAACTCCCCTCAAATCATCAACCATGTGAAAAAATACTTCTAAAATCAATAAATCATCAACTTGGTGCTAAAATTTTACTATTTTGTTGACTATTTTACATTGCTATTTCAAATTAGCTTATCAAACTTGATGATTAATTGATTTGAGGGTTATTTTTAAAACAATAATGATTGAGGGGTAATTATGTAAATACTAGGATTTGGAGGATATTCTTACAAATACCCATGATTAAAGTGTGTGTGTGTATGTATAGTATCTAATGGGTTTTATGTCTAGTGGGCCTTTGGGTTACGTCAGTGAAAGCACCCTAGAGAAGGAGGAGGGGAGGGGAGGGGAGGG